CTCAATGGGATGGTTACTCGGTTCCATGTGCTATCTGCYTTGGCTTTGAATACTTGGACTTCGGTGTGATTTTGCATTCCGGATTTCTGTGCTTCGTCCATACTCATGTTCCTTGCAATTTGGTATCGGAGCTGGTTTAATCGCCACTTACCTTTGGCACGCTGGCGTTATACAGACTTGGTGCGTTGATGATGCTTCTTTGCAGTGGGTACTTGTGACATCAGGCCAATATTGGTGCACGCCCTGGGTAGAGAGGGGTGCACCGGAAGGCTACAGACGACATATTAGCCGTGGTGACAGGCGGAATGTTTGATTGATGATGAGAGCATGCTGATGTGACATTGGACTAAGGTGGCACTGTATTGCGTTGTGGGTGGTACCGAGGTCATGACCGGTCATCAAATGCAACATCGGCTCAAATGGTGAGAAATCTGTGGTTGGGGGCAGCTATCTTCAGGTACGTTGTTCCCTTACCTTATCTACTCTCTCAATCTCTTCTTACCGTGAGGAAGTGAGTCCAACTTGAGAGTCCTCTCTTTTGGTGAGGTGTCGTGAGCGCGCTACCTTGAGAGACGACAATCTTCCCGGAAGCATACTGGAAGGAGAAAGGGCGGTGCCTCTGAAGGGCCCTGGTCGAAGCACTTGGGTCACGGTCACCATGCCAACCCACAGGGAGTAGTGCACGCATGTGATGGCTGCTGTCGGGGAAGGGTAGGTTCCAATTGGTGCTCAACTGTAAACACAACAATACCCATCAATCATACATCTGCTACATTGTCTTTTTGTACTTTGATTAGTTGGGTGACGGACTGTTAACCTCACAGACAGAATAGTTTAGGACTGTTGTATGCTACCATAGCCAGTTCTAACTAACGCTGTTGTAAGTGAACCATTCAGGGTGCATCTAGACAATGTAGACAATCTGTGTGAATGTTGTAGACATGCCACTTGATTCGGTATAGTAGGATACTCGCCGGACACAACTATTGTTAGAAAATTAGGTGCCGGTCAGATACATGCTGTGGTAGGTTTCCACTAGGGGATTCTAGTGCAGAAACTATCTGCCTAACTAATGAGTGGATCAGAACCTGTTGATGACAGAGCAGACACTAGAAGATTAACACGTGCACAGGCACTAAGGGTACCGCACGTGTTCAGGACCTTGGACGAGGAAGAATTAAGACAACTTCGCGTCGAACGCAGAGCCCGTGCTCTCGCAGCATCGAGAGCAACAGCAAACGCCGCAGCTAGGGAACAGGCTGCCGCAGCAGCTAGGGCAGCAGCCATGACTAGCTCACCAGCATCCTCTGCGGCTTTGTCAGGGACTAATGGGATGAGTGCGGGAATGCCAACTAGTTCCACGAGTTCCTCGGGCACTTCCGGATCCACAGGTTCTAGAGGATCTTTTAGTCAAACGGCAGGCTCGCAGTTCAGCCCCATGACCGCACGAGAGCAGGAGCTCAAAGAGATCCAACAGGTCGAGAGGCTCCGCCAGCAGTTAGAGGAGGATCTGAAGAACGCAACCGATAGAGAAAAAAAGATAAAAAGTAGAGCAGCCAGACTTGATACGTTAGAGGCTGACAAGGTTGCGTTAGAGGGATTGGACGAATCAAGTTTGTCTGACCCCCTGAAAGTGTTGAGGGACATGTTGTCACTGCATGCGCATGTGGACAGCAGGATGGACTTCATGCAAAGCACTTTGGACCAGATCCTGGATGCATTGACAAAGCCAGGATTCCGGCCACCAGCACAATCGCCATTGCCGTTAACGGCGATGTCAGGGCCCTTTGCCGTACAAGCTGGCACACAGCCAAGTGATACGTCTGCAGCAGCAGCACAGACTGTTGCATCTTCTTCTTCGGGTCCAGTGGTGATTGCTACATCACCACAACAACMTGTTCAGCAATCTGGACAGCAGCAAGGTCAATGGTACCCCAAGACCCCAATGAAACCGCCTCTTGCCTTCTCAGGCGAGAGAAAGGACGAGGAACTCAACACATGGTTGAGGACGGTCCCGGTTTGGGTGAAGGCCAAAAAGACCTTGCCAGAGGATGAGGTGGTAACTGCCGCATCTTACCTAGAGGGTAAAGCAGCCAAATGGTTAGATTGGGTAGTTGTGAAAGCCGGGTACGGGCGACGCATGGCAGATTGGGCTAAGTCTTTGACTCTAGACCAATTCATGGAGATGGTAGAAGCTCGATGGCATAACCCACAGGAGGCTCAAACGGCCACTGATGCCATTAACAAACTTGACCAACGCAAGTTCAGGTCAGTTAGGGAGCTTACGACTACCGTCGAGAGCCTGATCCTCGTTCCAGGCATCAACTACAGTGATCAGTTCCTCTTGACCACGTTTGTTAGATGTCTACCTGAGAACATGAGGAACTTACTAGCCAGTGAGGCACGCACTGAGTACCACTCATTTGAGACATTGTCTAGGAAAGCCTTAGACTTAGAGGCCACGCTAGGCAATGCTCAACCCACCTCAGGAAATGACTCAAAGAAGAAGAAGAGTCCTCAAGAATGGAAGAAGAAGGGGGCAAAGTTGATGATGGTTGAGTCTGATGGGACTCAAACTGAGATCGATGAGCTCTCTGACCTGATGGACTACTCAGAGTATGACGGCGAGGAGGTAGCTGAGGGTAGCACCCTCGCCGCAGTAGTAAAGACTAAGGCAGGTGGCCGAGGGAAGGGCCAACCTAGGAGTCAAGGGAAGGCCGCCTCCAAGCAGTCCAAACAGGCTGAGTGGGTCAAGGCAGGTCTTGACCAGGACGTGTGGCATGACCGCCGATCGCGTGGTGCTTGTATCAACTGTGGTGAATAAGGACACACGTAGTGGAAGTGCCCGAACGCTAAGGTTACGCAAAAGGTTGCACCAAAGGTTGGGGCAACTATTTCCCAGGCTTCTAGCTCGGGAAACRCRTRRGGYYAGTGRAAGTGATAGCGGCTTCTACTCAAGATGAAGTGGGAATGATACCCTCCTCACTTCATGACAAGGCCGAAGCTAATGACTCCTTAGCTACCCCGCAGACGCATCTAGACCAAACTATGCTCTGTACGGTAGATGTGTCTGAGGCCTTAGAAGACTTAGAAGGCGAGTGGTCAAACAAGGACCCTCGTGAGTCTTGGGCGGCGCTAAAGAAGGGTCCTAGAGGGGAACAATTCGCTGTGGAAGTGGATATAGGAGGCCGCAAATGTGGTGCCTTCATGGACACAGGCTCCATGCGAAATTACATAAGTCGCGACTGTTTGGAAAGACTGCACCTACAGGACCGGGTACGGCACCTTAGTAGACCAGTAGCATCTACTTTGGCCAACAAGGAGCGCATGATTGTCACATACTACCTCAAGGACGTAGTCTGTACCTTCTCCTATGGAGGAGGTGAGCTTAACCATAAGATCTCGTTCTTGGTTAGTAACGACTTGCCATTTGACATGTTGCTAGGCATGTACTACCTAAGCCCCAGTTTGACTGGGATAAGAAGGTGCTCAAACAAAAGTTGCCCGATGGCCGAACTGTCAGAATGACTAAGTTCAAGGCCAGCAGTATTGTAGATACATATGGCTGCTTGTGTGCATTTGCGTTCTACAATTATAATAAGCAAAACCAAGAGGAGGGTATGTACCTTGTTTATGTCTCTGAGAAGGGGGAGGCCGTTAAAACACCCCAGAGATAGAACGCGTCGTTGCTAAGTTCCCTGATCTGTTCGAGGAGCCCACATGAGTTGTTGATAGGGAAGTCGTCCACGCTATAGAAATCATTCCAGGGAGTAWGACCCCAAAGGGAAGGATCTATGGGATGGCCCCTGCCGAGTTAGATGAACTTCGGAAGCAACTCAAGGAGCTGACAGAGAAGGGATGGATTCGGCCTAGTACTTCCCCTTACGGATCACCCGTGCTATTTGTACCGAAGAAGGGGGGTACTTTGAGGATGTGCATTGATTATAGGGGCCTCAATGCCATCACTGTGAAAAACGAAGAGCCTCTACCTCGCATAGACGACCTATTGGATAGAGTGCAGGGATGCCAGTACTATACGAAAATAGACTTGAAATCCGGATATCATCAGATCGCGATAAGACCTGAGGACCAACACAAAACAACTTTTCAGACTAGATATGGTCTGTATGAGTTTGTAGTGATGCCTTTCGGTCTTTGTAATGCGCCGGGTACATTCCAGCACGCTATGAATAGGATCTTCCATGACCGTTTAAATAAGTTTGTCGTAGTCTATCTAGACGACATTCTGATCTTTAGTAAGTCTGCCGAGGAGCACGCACAACAATTTGAGTCAGTTCTCAACTCCTACGACAGCACAAGTATAAGGTCAACTTAGAGAAGTGTGAATTCGGTCGCACTAAGATACTATACTTGGGTCATGAAGTATCCGCGAAGGGGATTAGGCCGGAAGATGCGAAGGTGGCTAGTATTCGAGACTGGCCACGACCTCAAACTGTCACTGAGGTCAGATCATTCTTAGGAATGTGCGGCTACTATAGGAACTTCGTAAAGAACTATTCTACAGTCGCCTCTCCTTTGACTGATCTAACTCGACTTGACACCCCGTGGGACTGGAGTGACGAGTGCGAAGGTGCTTTCAAGAGATTGAAGCATGCACTCGTGAATCGTGAAGTTCTCATGGTTCCCGATCCGCAAAAGCCATTCATAGTGACCACTGACGCAAGCCAATACGACTTTGGCGCAGTGCTGGCTCAGCAGGATGGGAAAAAGTTGAGACCGATTGAGTACATGAGTAAGAGAATGCCATCAAAGAAAATGGCTAAGTCCACCTACGAAAGGGAACTCTATGCTCTCTACAAGGCACTTGTCCATTGGAGACACTTCCTTTTGGGAAGATTCTTCTATCTGAGGACTGATCATCAGACCTTCAAATGGATCAAGACTCAACCGGCTCTTTCTGATGCACTCAAGCGATGGATTGAGGTCATAGACCAATATGACTTCAAGCTTGAGTACCTGAAGAGAGAGTACAACAAGGTTGCAGACGCGCTATCCCGTAGAGCAGACTACCTAGGTGCGCTAGTTTCTGACTTTGGCATATCTAATGAAGTAACTCAATCATTGGTGGGAGCCTATCAGGAAGACCCTGTCACGATGGACATCATCCGCAAGCTTCAAGCAAAAGACAAGGCCACAGAAAGTGAGATTGTGATGGTGGATGGGTTAATCTATCTTGATAAGGCCGGAGTAAAGAGATTGGTAGTTCCATCTAGTGAACAGTTGCGTAGTTTATTTTTAGGAGAATGTCATGTCGCAACTGGGCATTTTGGCTACAAGAACACGAGTGCAAACTTAGTACAGCGATTTTGGTGGCCCAGAATGTTAGATGACGCAAAGAAGTATGTTGAGACCTGTCAGGTCTGTCAGCAGGACAAGCCGAGAACTCAAGCACCGCTTGGGTTATTGAAGCCTTTACCCATTCCTGATGGTCCAGGATTGAGTGTTTCCATGGATTTCATGGACACCCTAGTGACCAGCAAGAGTGGTAAGAGGCACATTTTCGTCATCATTGACAAATTCACCAAGTACGCTAGACTAATACCAATGCTAGAGACAGCCAGGACGGAGTATGTCATCAAGTTGTTCAAGGACAACTGGGTAAGGGACTTTGGTTTACCAAAGACCATCATTAGTGACCGAGACGTCCGCTTCACAAGTGAATTGTGGAAGAGGACTGCAGAACAGATGGGCAGTCAACTTCAAATGACTTCAGGGAATCATCCCGAAGCCAACAGACAAGCCGAACAAATGAACAGAGTGGTACAACACTTGCTGCGGCATTACATCAAGCCCAACCAAGATGATTGGGATGAGCAGTTTCCTCTCATCGCCAGCTTGTACAACAATGCTATTCATAGTAGTACCGGTGTTAGTCCTAACCAGTTGCACTTGGGATGGAAGCCTAGATCAGCACTAGACTTCCTCCTACCTGAAAACCGACCTGCTGCAACTCCAGGCACACTTGAATACGGTATGCAATATGAGAAGTTGCTGCGCTAGGCTGTTGAACATATGAAGAAAGCTCAGCAAGCCATGATTGCTTCTGAGAATCAACATCGCAGACAGTCCACATTTCACGTGGGGGAACGTGTCTGGGTCAAGGCTAGTGAGTTAGGACAGGAGTTCGGAATATCTCGTAAACTAATGCCTCAATACTTTGGTCCCTGGGAAGTCTTGGATGTAGTGGGAGATGCAATGGATGGTCCTACGTACGTCATTCGTGTCCCTGGTCATCTATGCACTCACCCAGTTTTTCATGCCTCAAAGCTTGCACCTTTCGCTGAGACAGATCAATTCCCTTCCAGGAGACCGATGCTGGCCCCAACCATGGATGGTCAAGTTGACATCGACGACATTGTGGATCACAGGGACATACCTGTTCCAAAGCCGCTGGGCCGAGGAAGACCTCCCAAGCCCAAGAGAGAGTACCGCGTCAGATTCAGGCATCATACGGATCCAAAAGAAGATCGTTGGTGTACCAGGGAGGAACTGATTGACACAGCTCCTCAGGTGGTGGCAGACTATGAGAAGAAGCTGAAAGGGAAGGCGCCTGCGAAGTAAGCATCTCAGCGGACTTTCGAAGCTAAGGGGAATGGAATGTGAGGATTGGCCCCTCAAGTAGGGGCCTTGCCATGATGTACATGTTCTGGGCTAAGGCCCCAGCAAGCCTAGTGCCCGCCCTAAGTGAAGGCGGGCCAGAAAATCGACAAGAGCCCTCTGTGCAACATTTCACGAAGTGGGGTTCATACAGTTGCAGCACGCCAGTTGGTTGGAGTGCACCGAGTCTCAGATTTCAGCAAATGCTGAAAGCCCAGGGCCTCTGAGTTGGTTAGGCCCTGGGCATCTGAACGTGAGGCTGACAATGCATGCTGGGAAGAGAGGCCGAAAATGCCAAAGGGAAATCGGCCCACTGTCTGAATCTGGCCACAGGCCTTGATGAAGGAGGCGCAACTGCCTTACCCCGGGGCTCAACTGTATCGAGTTGGCTTCAGCGTCCGGGCCCCGGTCACAGGCTGAAGGGAGGCCGCCCACACACTGCACTGGCATATAGGCAAGCAGGGCGAGGCAGCGGGGATCTTAGCCAATACTGGCATATGCGGGCACGCTGCGCAGATGCAAGTGTGCTGCGCTAATGCAGAGCAGCGCTGCCTGCTTGCAGAGCATCTGGCGGCCATAGCCGGACCGCAAGAAGGTGCAAGGGAGGTGAGGGCGAAGGTGGTACTTTGGAGGTGAAGGGCGCTGTGTGGGTAACAAGGGAGAGTGTGGGGAGGATGACGCGTACCTGGTGATGGTGGAGGTCTGCATTGGTGTTGACATCATCACTCGCTGGTAGTCAAGTTGTCTGGTTGCTATTCATTGCTGTAGTTGTAGGATAGGTTGTAGAGTAGATAGGGCGCCTGGCGCCATTCACAAGAGAGAGCTACATTTGGGTTATGCTGTTGGTGTTGCCCCTGGTGGGCATGGACATTGACTCACGATTCTTCTGTATCATTCTCAATGGGATGGTTACTCGGTTCCATGTGCTATCTGCTTTGGCTTTGAAT